ATAAAGACACATGCACATGTATGTTTACTGCAGCACTATTCACAATAGCAAAGACTTGGAACCAACCCAAATGTCCATCAATGATAGACTGGATTAAGAAAATACGGCACATATACACCATGGATTACTATGCAGCCATAAAAAAGATGAGTTCATGTCCTTTGCAGGGACATGGATGAAGTTGGAAACCATCATTCTCAGCAAACTATCACAAGGACAGAAAACCAAACACCGCATGTTCTCACTCATAGGTGTGAATTGAACAATGAGGACACTTGGACACAGGGCAGGAAATATCACACACCAGGGCCTGTCGGGAGGTGGGGGATCTGGGGGAGGGATAGCATTAGGAGAAACACCTAACGTAAATGACGAGTGTATGGGTGCAGCAAACCAAGATGGCACATGTGTACCTATGTAATAAACGTGCATGTTATGCACATGTACCCTAGAACTTAAAGTATAATAATAATAATAAAAAGAAAACCTAAAAAAAAAAGTCAGGGAAGACTATTTGTCAAAAATATTCATATTGTACAGTTGATTGAATAAAGAAAATCTGGTATATAGACATCATGGAATATACTATACAACCATACAAAAGAATGAAACCATATCTTTGCAGCAACATGGATGGAGCTGGAGGCCATTATCCTAAGTGAAATAACTCAGAAACAGAAAATCAAATACTGCATGGGAGCTAAACAATGGGTACACACGGACATTAAGATGAAAATAATAGACACTTGGGACTTCAAAATAGGGGAGATCACTAGGGGCGTAAGGGATGAAAAACTGCCTACTGGGTACAATGTTCATTATTTGGTTGATGGGTTCACTGGAAACACAAACCTCACTATTATGCAATATATGCAGGTAACAAACCTGCACACGTATCCCCTAAAATACAATTTAAAATGTCAATGTTATAAAAGACAAAGAAATGTTCTAGGTTAAAGGAAGCTAAGGAGACATTGCAAATAAATCCAATACCTGACCCTAGACTGGAGTCTATGATGGGGGACAAGGATGTGTGGCACACAATGATGTTCTATAGGAAATTATTAGGTCAAAATTGACGAAACTGTAATATGGATTGTAGATTAGGTAAAAGTATTACATCAATGGAAATGTATGAAATTGATAACTTTACTGTGGATATGAATGAATAGCCTCTTATGTAAAAGACTATTCCTACTCCATACAGATATCTGAGATTATATATATATATACACACACACACACACACACATATATATGAGATATACATGTATGTATGAGATATATACATCCCCTTTGAGAGGAAAAGGAGACACCATAACTATGCCAGGACAACAGGTGCAAACCAGGACAGTCCTGGGCAAATCACACCTTGAGTCATTGGTGTCCTTTGCTAGGACAGTTTTGGTGGCGTACTGGGTGCAAAGCCCAGTGTGTGTGGGTTCAGGAGACAATGGAAGGAGGGAAAGTGAAAATAGTGCATATGAACAACTGTTTCAAGAGGGTTTCTTAATGAAAGAAAAATGAGAGAAGTTGGCAGAGGCAGGAGGCAAAGTGAGGTCCAGAGAGGGACTTTTTAAGATTGGAGAACTAGCAATGTGTGTGTGACAGGGAGGAACTGAAGTCAGGAGCATTATGGTTATTCCAGATCTCTACTTGAATGCCAAAGGAGGGACAGTGTCCTACTTTGAGTGGCTGAAGAATCTAAATCATGTCAGATATGGCTGTTTGACCTTCAAATATGAAAGGGATTCTAATTACCACTTGCTCATGTCTGTTCAACAGAATTTAGCAAGAACGTTTGGAAAGCACAGTGGAACTATTCTCATTATACCCACAGCAGAGTTCCAAGACAGGGTATCAGGTGCATCAGAGAAAGACACCATGCACGCTGACCTGGTGTACACAATGGAGAGTTCTGCCAGACAAATTACGTGCATAGTCATGAAGTTTAACCTGGGATTGGACACGAGGACCACCGTCTATGTCAACGCCATTAAGAAAGTCTTCAAAGTGTACAATGAAGCCAGTGTGACCTTCACGTAGATGGCTCATGGGTGACTTCCTTGCTACCCTCTTCACCTGTAACTTCTGCAGACCTACCACTGGTTGACACGTTGCCACAGAAATCCCTTTCTCTCTTGACTCATTAGATAATGGACACCATTCTTAACAAATCGATCCAAATCAGCCCCCTCAGGAGAAAGAAATTAAGGCTAGCGGATCATGTACAAGCTGATGAGTGTGAAAGTAGAAATCACCGGCACCGGAGAGAGAAACATGTAGGTGTTTTGCCTCTACATAAAAAGTCTCTTTCATCTGGCTGTGCAGCCTTGCTCTGTGGCTCTTCCCAACACAGTCAGCAACTGTTGCCAGGCAAGGCACAGTCAAGAGCAATCAGATGCTTAAGTCTTTTGCTCTGGACAAGACTGGGACATGCTGTAACTTTTAACATATTTAGAAGTAGGTGTGTAGCATTTTCAGAAGGTGGCATGGTCCTCACATGAGTTATTGAAGCAAAATAACTCAATTTTATAGGATGCAAACAAAAATAAAAGCTGTTTCTGCTTATTAATTTTATTCTTTTGGAAAAAAAAATAAGTAATGCTGCTATAATAAAATTGCTTTTAATCTCTTAACAAGCCTAACCTTGATTCAAGCAGTGAATGCCTATAAACATAATAAATTTTAAAAGCTAGTATTTTTATATAATAAAAGAGTATCATTTAGAGCTTATTAGCCATGTATTGTTATCCAGCAAAAATAACAAGCCCTATGGAGAATTAAATTATCTTTATACCTACAAAAATGATGGAGGCTATTTCTGTGAAGATTGTCAGAGTTTGCTGACTATAATTATGACACACAGTCCAAAGAATGCAGTAACCTCCTTATAATGTTAACAAATTGTTCTCTTTTGAAGGTCTATGGTTGACTAATTGAACAATAATTCAAGTAGAATGTTCCAGAAGAAAAAAAAAAAACAAAAACCCTTGGGTTCCCTGTTTGGAGATTGGCTGGCCCTGAGCATTGCTAATGGCCTCTACTCAGCCTGATTTTGTGTTCTCTTCTTTTAGAGTCTTTACATTCTGCACTCAGCTTCACAAACAATGGGTTGAAAACAACCTTGGGTTGAGTGTTTTGTTTGGGAATTATTTGGCCAGGTCCTTTTGAACAGTAGTGTTCCAGTCAAATGCTAGATAATAATACATGCAAAAATTAGCTTTAAAAAAACCTATAATGCCCTTTCAGAAATTTCTACTACTTTGTAACTGCATGACTTAACCTGGTAATAAAAGCAGTTATTAAAAGTCTACCTTACAAAAAAAATCTTCTCATCTCTGTAAATCAACAGGGATGGAAAACAAACCTATACTGCCACCCAAAAGACAAAATAATTTATAGTATAGTAAAAGCGGCATTTTACATGGGGAAAAGGTACATTATTGAATGAATGATGTCAGAACAATTCAGCAAATGAAAAAATAAAGTGACAACACTACAAATTCCAGACTGATCAAATATTTAAGTTGAAAAGCTTATCCAAGAAAGTACTCCAATAAACCACTTAATAGTTTCGTTTTATAACCTCAGAAAAGGAAAGTCCTTTCTAAGCATAACATGAAAACCTAAACCATAAGAACATTTTGTGGCCAGGTGCTATGGCTCACGCCTGTAATTCCAGCACTTTGGGAGGCTGAGGTGTGTGGCTCACGAAGTCAAGAGATCGAGACCATCCTGGCCAACATGGTGAAACCCTGTCTCTATGAAAAATACAAAAAAAAAATTATCTGTGTGTGGTGGTTAGAGCCTGTAGTCCCAGCTACTCGGGAGGCTAAGGCAAGAGAATTGCTTGTACCGGGAGGCGGAGGTTGCAGTGAGCCGAGATCTTACCACTGCACTCCAGCCTGGCAACAGAGTGAGACTCCATCTCAAAAAAAAAAGAACATTAAAAGAACATTTTGCATGGCAAAAACCATCATAAGCAGCAAAGTTGAAAGACAAATGATACACGGAAAAACAATATTTGTAACTCATATCTCAGACAAAACGTAAACTAACTTAATATATAAAGAGCTCCTGCCAACCAATAAGAAAAACAACAACATCATAGAAAATTGGGTAAAGTATAAGGAGACAATTCACAGAGAAGAAATCAGATGAAAAGTTACTCAATATCACCCATAGTAGGAGAAATGCAAAATACAAGTAAAATAAGTTATGTTTTGCCTTGTTTTATCCATCAAATTATCAGTAACAAAAAGACCAGCGGGGCGCCGTGGCTCACACCTGTAGTCCCAGCACTTTGGGATGCCTAGAAGGGTGGATCTCTTGAGGTCGGTCAGGAGTTTAAGAGTAGCCTGGCCAACATGGTGGAACCCCTTCTCTACTAAAAATATAAAATTAGCCAGGCATGGTAACGCACGCTTGTAATCCCAGCTACTCAGGAGACTGAGGCAGAAGAATCACTTGAACCCAGGAGGCGAAGGTTGCAGTGAGCTGAGATCGCACCATTGCACTCCAGCCTGGGCGACAAGAGTGAAACTCTGCGTCAAAAAAAAAAAAAAAAAAAGACTGATAATATAGTTTGTTGGTATATGAGAAAAGTGCACTCTTGCACATTACTCATTGAAATGCAAATTAATTGAACTTGTAATTGATATTAAAATATTTCTTTATATTGCATTTTAAAGCTTGCTTTTTTGGCTGGGTGCAGTGGCTCACGCCTGTAATCCCAATACTTTGGGAGGCCAAGGCAGGTGGATCACTTGAGGTCAGGAGTTCAAAACTAGCCTGGCCCATATGGTGAAACCCCATCTCTACTAAAAATACAAAAATTAGCCAGGTGTTGTGGTGGTCGCCTGTAATCCCAGCTACTTGGGAGGCTGAGGCAGGAGAGTTGCTTGAACTGGGGAAGTGAAGGTTGCAGTGAGCCAAGATCATGCCACTGCACTCCAGCCTAGGTGACAGGGTGAGACTCCATCTCAAAAAAAAAAAAAAAAAAAAAAATTAAAGCTCACTTTTTAGGTAATGTCTCACTATTCAAGCATTTGGTTTACCGTTGAATAATAACAGGTTTGAACTGCAAGGATCCACTTACACACAGATTTTTCTCCCACCTCTACCACCCCTGAGACTAATGCCTCCTCTTGTTGCTCCTCAATTTTCTTAACATTTTTTTCTCTAGCTTACTTTATCGTAATAATCTAGTATATAATACACATTTAAAATACGTGTTAATTGGCCATTATATTATCAGTAAGGCTTCCAGTCAAAAGTAGGCTATTACTAGAAAAGTTTTTGGTAAACCAAAATCTATACCTGAATTTTTGACTGCATGGGGGGTTGGCATCCCTAACACCCCACCTTGTTCAAGGGTCAACTGTATTTATATTTATATTTCATTTTTTTATGTAAAGAAAGGCTCTCACTCTGTCACCCAGGCTAGAGCACAGTGGTGTGATCGTGGCTCACTACAGCCTCAACTTCCTGGGCTCAAGCGATCGTCCCATCTCAGCTTCTTGAGTAGCTGGGACTATGGGCATGAGGCACTATGCCCAGCCTGTGTTTATATTGTAAAGAATAAATAAATAGGAAAATTTACTAACTTTTCCCCAGCTGAGTACACTTAATGAATGAATTTTTCAATTTTGAATCATCACTATCACTTGGAGAGAGCATACACTAATTTCATGTTCATAACCTTTTGAATGAGAAATTGATCTCTTGAAAAATGAATTTATACTAGCCTTAACAGTCTCACATACCAGTGTGTCTTATTTTTCTCCTATTAGGCCTGCCCTCTATTCCCCTCACCCTCATACACACATAACAGAAACCTGAATCTTCAGATATCTTTAACCCATCAATGGCCACGTCCCATCTCCACAGGAACCTCACTAGATTCTCCAGATCTCACCTCAGACTCTACCGAGAAATCAAGGTGGTGCTTTTTGTTGTTTCTTGTTTTTTTATTTTGTCTTTGGATCGTTAGGGGTATCAAGAGCCTTTACTCAAAGCTGGTCCCAGCTGCTCCACTAGATGTCACTGTCTTGTAAATTAATAGTGCTTTACATACAAACTCCATCCATGACATGGCACTGAAGGGACACCAGGCTAGTTCCAAAGAGCAAAGTATTAGTCTGTGTTATGCACACATCCACTCTGAGGGGAGGGACAGGAAGAGGCAGGATGTCAGAAGTCTGGCAGGAAGGAAGGGCTCTGAACATTGAAAGAATGCTGGGGATGGGAATCTGAGCTGATCATGCAGTGTGTGGTGCAAATGTACCTGAATGAGGAAGAGAGCGAGACAGGCAAAGCTCCTGAAGGAAGGGCATGCCAGGAAGAGGAACAGCAGGTGCAAAGACCCAGAGGCTGAGCGAGCCAGAACCCGGTCGGGAGGAGGCTACAAAGACAGGCCTTGCGGGGACTTGCAGGGCTTGGTAAAGAGTGCACATTTCATTCTGAACGAAACGCGAAAACTTTGGAAGAATCCGTGATTTCTGACTTTTCGCGGAAAAGCCCTCAAAATCTACCTAGATGTAATCACGAGGAAACACCAGACAAACCCAAACTTAGGAACTTTCTATAAAATAAGTGTCCTACCTATTTGTAAATTATCAATGTCATAAAAGACAAAGAGAGGTTGGGAAACCATTTGAGAGTAGAGGAGATTAAATGACAACTAGATGCAAACTGTGGCTCTCAACTGGATTCTGGAGGGAAGGAAAAACAATGCTCTGGTGGGCATTATGCGGACAGTGGATAATATTTGAACATGAATTATAGATTAGATAAAAATCATGGAATTAATATGAAATTTCCTGGCTAGCCGCAGTGGCTCACACCTGTAATCCCAGCTCTTTGGGAAGCCAAGGCGGGCAGATCACCTGAGGTCAGGAGTTCAAAACCAGCCTGGTCAACATGGCGAAACTCCATCTCTACTAAAAACAGACAAATTAGCCAGGTGTGGTGGCAGGTGCCTATAATCCCAGCTACTCCCGAGGCTGAGGCAGGAGAATTGCCTTAACCTGGGAGGTGGAGGT